GATTTTCTTAGTACAGATGGGTTGTGCAGTTGATAGTAATATTGTCATGGAGTATGTTGAAGGCTGAAGCACCAGTTCTTCTTCTGAACTTGAGGATTCCCATGCCTTCCTTTCCTCTTTGCTAACTGCACGTAGGCAAAGTGTTAGATTAGGCAGCTTGAAATGCCCCTGAGTCAAAAGGCAACTGTTCTTACCTATCAAATATGATAAGACCCATGTGTCAGAGCAAGTTCTATGTCATGCATGAAAAATATGTTCAGAAATTGAAAATGTGCTTTCTCCATCACCAAAACCCATTCAGAGTCTGTTGCTCCATGAAGGTGTGTGTGTAGGCCTAACAGTGTTGCCTCTTAACATATTCATGTTAAAGGAAAACACCTGGGCACTGAGAATTTATGTTCATGGCTTTTTACCCTGCTTGGAATGCATAGCTTTTGTGACACAAATCTGTTAATACACAGGTCTAACCTGTTAATAGCTGGTAAAGAAGAATTAAAATTCATGAGAGTGCTGATCATGCAGACACTGGCTTGAGAAATGGTCTGTTCACATTTTTCCAGCCTTTCCAGGAAGCAGTTGTCTGTCTTGTGGTTCTTGTAGACACACTGAAAACAGGACACAGGTAGACGAGTTTCTCTTCTTCCTCTCCTGGAGGATTGTTGTTATATGTGACAAGGAGCAGTCACATGCAATGATTCAGATTCCTTGGAGGATGTGGCAGTGTGAAATGGACTGGCATATGTATGCAAAACAGACACCACTGATCTTGCATTCTCTATCACAGACATTCCACTAACATTAGTCACTTTCCTGACTACTTTTTTTTTCAAGCAAATAGCAGCTCAAGAAGACATTGTAGTCTTTTGTATTCATTCAATCTTTTATTGCTTGGGTATCATATCTGCTGCATCTACTGATGCTCAATTTGTGGTGTACTTATTATATAAAAACCTCATCTCTGTAGTGCAAGTCCTTGAAATTGAGCTTTTGATGGCAGATTGAAATAAAACATGCTCTTAATGAATGGACAGTTCTGATCTTAAGAATAAATTAAACTGTTTTTCCTTTATGGTAAGTGTCACCCATTAATATCGGTGTGTTCTTGGAAGGAAAGAATGGCAGCTTAAGTTAGAGGCACATTGGCACAGAGAGTCTTGTTGGGTTGTGGTGATTTAAAATAAATAAATAAAATGTGAAATAGCTTTTAGATTTATTTTTGAATTATGAGTACTTGAAATTAAGTTATCAGTATTCATTGCTCTTATCAATAATGAATATGTAAGTTGCTTTTCTGGAAAATACATGACTAGGTTTGCCCTTGTTAATTTTCCTTGAAGGAATGAACAAGTGCAAATAATCAATCTGGTAGTTGTACGTGGAGAGAGATATTTGCTGTAGTATTCAGCCACTTGTGGTTTTCTGTAGGGGTTTATCTTTCTTCATGTAAGTGCCTTGGAGGACTTCTGCTAACTAAAGTACAAATTCCCATTCCATTTGGTGAGTTTGTCTGAATTGGCAGGAAATTACTAACAGTTGTCTCTCAAGATCTCTCTAGATTAGATATTCCTACTTAGAGCCATGGCATCCAAGTACCTTTGTCTGTGATACTTGTGTTTTCTTACTTTTTAGGATCAACCCCACCCACATCTCACTTCTGATTTTGTTCATTTGTATTTTTCAGCCACCACGAGGTTCATATTTGCCCAGTGCAGATAAGTTGCCTGAACTAGAAACACTGTGCAAGGAGTGAGGTGCTATAAAAGTTACAACCTTGACAACACTGTAAATCCTCATGGAACAGTTTTCTAAAACCAGCTTTGCAAACTTTCTTTCTTGGGTAATTTTTATGAATGTGTGCAATGTAAGTGCTGGCAGAATGTTCCATCCTTGAATGGGCAACCACAGCAATTCCTCTTCATGGAGTGAGGTCAGGCAGTGCGTTAACAGACGTTAGCGACACATTAGCATCGGTGCCTTCCCTATTGGAAAAAATAACTGGCCTTAAAACAAGGTACAAATATGTTGACTCTTAAGAGACAATGTCATTATGTAGCAGTGGTAACAAAAATGAATGCCACTGTTATACCCTAGCATAAATCTCCAGTTCATGCTGATCTTGGAGACCTTGAAATCCCATCTGATTTGTTATTTGAGGCTGGAGCTGTTCAGAAACAGCTTTGTGCTTGCTTTGTAATTGCTCTTTATCAGACAATTGCTTCCATTTCATAACTGCAGTGTTGGTTTTACACGCTGGCTTTAAGCTTCCAAATGATCAGCAATTTGACATTTGACATTAAGTGGTTGACCTTTAGTGGGTAAGAGGAAGAGCTAATAATTCCCAGTGTTTATAGCACTGATTTTAGTGTGATATTACTTCTCTCCCTCTCTCTTGCATCTTCAGCCACTGTTGTAAATTTTTTCGAGTTTAAAAGCAAATTGCTAAAGCACACAAGCTTTTGATGCTCTGTGGATGTAATGTGTTGCATTGTGCATAATCATTTTATCTCTCTTTAATCCCTAAAATGACATGCAAACCTCTCTTAAAACCTGGGGGCTCTAATTTTTTCCTTCCTTGTTGTGGTTTTTGTAGGGGTCCAAGCCTGTCTACAAACCTCAGTTCGAGAACAGGAAGAGAAGTTTGAAATTCAAGGTGGCCCCCAAAGAGGGAGGCTCAACAGAGAACAACTGGTGGGTGTTACTGCTCCAGACAGCTTATATTAATGACCTTTGGTTTGTGCAGTTTTGCCCTTTGCCACATGCGAAGGTGCAGAAGATGTAAAATTTTAATGTGGTCTTGTACAGAAATTTGATTATGTGCAAGGTGATTGAAAGAACTGTGAACACCCATAAAACTGTCATTTTTCTCTATTAGTGGAGATGTTGCTATAACCTTGTCAGGAGAATACTATATTCAGCTCATGGTAGAAGTTGTATGGGGCAGGAACTGATGCAGCTTTGGCCTTCTCTGCTCAGCTTTAGAGCCAGGGTGTCAAAGTTGAAAGAAAAATGTCCTATTTTTTTCCATTTAGGGGCACTTTTATCTTTAACTGGGTTCATTTCTGGTTACTTTCTGGATTGCACTGGAGAATTCATTAACTGCCCTGTAACAGTAACTGTAAATATTCCTAGTTCATAATGCAAACCCTGTTGTGCTGAAGAGTATTTGAACATATAAGCAAGAATTTACCACGTAAGCAAGCTTTTCTTGATTGCACACTTATCCTGAGAACCTTACATGTTAATTTACTGTTCTAGTTTCCAGTGTTGGTTATTTTAAATTGTATTTTTTGTGTGCATTGATGGTTCCTTTCCACTTTTTTCCTGTCTGCTCAGTTGTAAAGTCCTGTATTTATACTTTTCCTTTTTCTTCCATTTAGCTGCCTAAGTTGTTTGATGGATGCTACTTCTATTTTTTGGGATCTTTCAAACATCACCAGAAGAGTGATCTTAGGGAGCTGGTCAAAGCAGCAGGAGGACAAATTCTGGTTAGACAGCCCAAGCCAGACAGTGATGTGACACAGACGATCAACACTGTGGCATACCATGCAGAATCTACTTCTGACCAGAGGTTTTGCACTCAATATGTAATCTATGATGCGGCGTCTAAATTCAAGCCGGAGAAAATTCGTCAGGGCAAAGTCTGGATGGCCCCCTCCAGCTGGCTCATAGACTGTGTGATGTCGTTTCAGCTCCTGCCTGTAAAATGAGTATCAGTGTCTCCTGAGCAAGGCTGTAAAATGTGCTGAATGTTGAGCAGCTGGAGCACTCTGGTAAATGCTGGTCTGGAGCTATGATTTGCTTTGCACTTGGGAGAGCTTTGACCATTTAAGTGAGTGACTTAAGATTACTGATATCCTGGAATAAATGAACATACAATGGAGGAGAGAGAGAAATATACTGCATTGGAAAAGTGTTCCTTGGGCTATTTTTGCATTTAACTGTAATAATCACTGGCATTTTATATCTAAGATTTTGCAAAATGAAGCTTTTTGCTTTCTTGATTTGAACCAGCCCTTGGTAGATGCTAGAGCATGACCCTATTTCCATTGTGTTTAGTATCCATTGACAAGGATCTACTGTGTATCAGGATTTCCCAGGCCAGAATTTGTGGGGTTTTTTGAGGAAAAAAAAAAAGGACTCTGCATCTGAACTTGTGTTTAGTCATCTTTTGTCAGGTGACAGGTGATGTTCCTTATAACTTCTTACAACTGAGTTCTGGAAATTCTTGGTGTGGGATAAGTCTTGCATGAATCATGGTTGAACTAATGGCCTGAATTCATCTGGAAGCAGGCAATTTTGAGAACACTGTTTAAAAATCTTGGTCTAAAATTTCCTTATTTGTAAAAAGATTAATACTTCATTCACTTCTGTCATCTTTCATGTTGTGAATGCATAACTCAAAATCAGTTCTGTTTTCCAAAGCTTTTTAAGCATTGGGACCCTTGTTAAATTATTATAACACACGTTTCTGTAAGTAGGGGTGGTTGCTGTCATGATTACTGTAAGGACAAAAAACTGAATGATCACAATAGGATTATGCTTCACTTTGCACAGTTGTACCTAAACTGCTGGTTACACTGGAGCAATGTTTGATTCTTTCGTGTTTGTTAGAATAATTGGTCATAAATTATTGTCAGAATTCCCTCACTCTGTGCTCTTTTGTTGCATCTTTTGTGTTGCCTTAGTTTGGGAATTCATAATTGAAATATGGTGTCTTGTCATAATGTATGATAAGAATGATGGTTGTGGGGTAGAACGAAGTTCTTTATGTTTGCTTTTGTATTGCTTAAAATAATGAAACTTTTTCTGTGCATTAAGTTTGGAGTGTCTTATTGCATGAACTTAGCTGCAGAGTGAGTACATATTCCATACATATCTCAACAGGTACATGAAATTACTTCTCTGAACTTGGTACAGCTGTCAAGATTGCAAATCAGTGACAAGAGCTACTTTTGCACATGAAGAGATGTTTTCTGTAACCATTGCTGTTGGAGATTTTATACCAGTTTTCAGTGTGCTCCATAGAACTCTCAGAACTATACACTCCAGGTAGAACAGGTGTAGTTTTCCACAGCATCTACTAGACTTCAGTAGCTGGAGTATGTTGATCTGTCACTTGTGCTAGACTGGATCGTAGCTCTTCACTAAATGCAGCTCTCAAGTTCTTGCATGTTCTGTGTGAGTCAGCAAAAATGCAGGGCTCATTAGTAAGTGGAACAACCCATGGGATTAATATGGTTTGGGTTTTTGTGCAGATAAACACTGGCAGCAAATAAGGTACTGAGTCGATACTGTGTGGACTCGGTCGTTTGTTTTAACAATTGTAGCACATTTTAACTTGGCATTTCATAGCACATCAATATACCTAATGCAGTGTTCTTTGCAAAAGTACCAGTGAATCTCTGCAAAATTCTTCAGAATGGAGCTTTTCTGTTCTGTACCAGTAACAAATTTGGCCCATCAGTAATCCTATTCTATATACTAAAGTAGAGACAACACATTTACAGATTTTAAGAGCCGTTGCTCTTTGGCAGGCGAAAAGAAACAGTTAGAAAGTTGCCATTAATGGGCTTTTTTTTTTAAAGCCATGCTCTGAACCTCTTCTTGTTCCTTTGAATCAAGTTGTGTTATCAAGCAGAGTTTCTATTAAGTCACATTAAGAATCCCTCCATATCATGCTGAGGAGAGATCCTTACCTGAGATTAACTCTGGCCCATCTCCTTCAGGTCTCTGCAGGAATTCGGAGTCTGATGTGCTTAGGTAGGTGTAGACTTGAGAGCTTCACAGTAGACTTGGATGCCAGAATTACAGCAGGTAATCATGCTGTGGCAGTGTGTAAGTACACAAAAGTTTGAGGTCAGTGACACAGACCCTGCTTAATTTGCTCGTGCTAATTGTTGAAAGCAGAGGGATAACACTTGATAAAAGTCTTGTAGTAAGGGTAGATCAAGTCCCTTAACCCATTGGATGGATTTTGGCTCCTGAAAGCAAGGTTATAAAATTGAGGCATGTGGTAAAGCATGTGTGGGGGTCATTTCTCACTGCATCCTAGGCCAAAACCAAGGGTGTGTTAAAGGAAGGTAGTAGGAGGTAGGCTCAAAATGGAAGAGACATTTCAAGCATTGTGAGGGACTTGGGCACTGACAGCCATAGTAGCCTGGCATAGCCTGAAGCAGGGAGTGGATGAGTTTGTCAAAGAAAATTTGTTAAAGGTTAATAAAAAATCTTAGCTCTAACCTCAATTTATATTGGTATTCTCCTCCTAACCTGTGTGTACTTAATGTGCACTGATGATTGAGGCATTTCATAGAAACATAGAGTGGTTTGACTTGGAAGGGACCTTAAAGATCTCCTAGGATGACTACCTCATCTGGAGAGGTGAAAGTCCAAGGCTTGTATTCTGGATTATAGGTATGTCTATTGAACTTGTACTCATAGCTCAAAAATACCTGAATCACAGAGCGGTTTGGGCTGGAAGGACCCCAAAGGTCATCTCATTCCATCATCCCTCCTGCCATGGGCAGCGTCATCTTCTATTAGCCCAGGTTGCTCCAAGCCCCATCCAACCTGGCCTGGAATACCTCCAGGGATGGGGCAGACACAGCTGCTCTGGGCAACCTGTGCCAGAGCCTTACCACCCTCGCAGGGAAGAATTTTTTCCTTAGGCTAATGATTTTCAAGTATCTTTCCTTGTACATTACTTTTTTCTCATGATGAATTGGTTCACCTGGGACACCTAGTAATACCTTCCCTGTCTGGGGCTCAGTGGCATCAATTTAACACCTCTAATAGTTAATCTAAGATCATATTTTTAATAAATACTGTTTCATCTCTTTGAGTGGTGTTGCAATATTTCTGTAAGTGTTTCAGGGAAGCAACAGGCAATCAACTCACAGTAGACAGCAGTAGCTGCTTTTGCAGAAATTAGAATTGGCATGCCTGGGAGGTGCTATGGCTCTGTCATCTTGCAGTCCTCTTCTGAATGATAACAAGCATGGGAGGGTCCAAAGACATGCATGTCTCTAGTAACAAACATGTCAGCAAGTGCTTCACCCAGCTGTCACCTACAGCCTTCGTGGGGATTGAACTAAAGCTCCTCTCTTCTGCTCTGTCCCAGGCTCTGAGCTGAGGTTAGACCTGACTGGCTCTGTGGGACCCAGCATGGTTATCCATGATGAGCCTGGGCAAGGCTCACAGAAGGACCAGCTGACTGAAGGAAATTCATTCAAGGAAGGGAATAATTCTAGACAGGGAATTGAAACTGGTTGTATTCCCTGGCTAGGTCCAGTGTCTTATTTAAGACCAAACTTATTCTGGAGCAGTCATTTTGTGCTGCAGCCTTCCAGCAGATCTGCATTTTGGCAGATGAAACTGCTGCAGCTCAGGACAAAGCTGTCTGCATGGAAGCTAAAGCCTGTTGTAAAACTACACACTAGTGTGTGTTATTTGGGGAAAATGTATAAACATAGGGATCATTTAGTCCCCCTGCCTGTGCTTGCTGTGCTGCTTCTAATTTCTGTGGGCCAGCTTTGCTGTCAAGGTGGTAGAGGGAAGGGAGAAAATCAGTTCAATACTGTCAGCCCTGCAGGAGTGCTGACAGAGCTGCTGGGCAGGAGCTGTTCTGGCCTCTCCTGTGGATCAGCTGGACTGCCAGCACAGCCTGGGGGGGGTGGCATCTTGGCATCTCCTTTTTTTTTTTTCTTTTTTGCCTTTTTCCCCATACTTTGCAAGAAGAAGCAGTTTGGTGGAAAGGTTTGAATCTTTGATACCTAAGCAGGCTGCATTGTGTTGCAAAAACCAGCAAAGCAGGCTTAAATACCAGCTTAAAAGGTACAGCAAGAGGTCTTTGGGCAGCCAGATAGTATTGGTTTCAAGTGGGCAGCAGTGTCTCGGATGGAACAAATGAAGATTCAGCTGTTTTTAATAGCAGTGCAGCATGTTCTATCTTTTCAGACTTGTTTGATTTAAATTAACAGTTGTTTAACTAGTGTTAAATTGCCCTTAAAAGCAGAGGAACATTTTGTGTGTAATCAGATGGGAGAAGGGGAGGAAGTTTCCCACTTTTTTTTTTTTCCCTATGGAGAAGATTTTTTGTGCTTCAATTTAATTCCTGGCAGGAGGTCTGGTCTGATGAAGTGGCAGAGAGCCTCAGCTCCCACTGTGTTTGAGACCCTGCTGCTGTTCCTGAGCTGAGGCTGAGGCAGTGGCAGGCAGTGGGGTGGCTGGTACCCAAGCTTTGTGATGCAGCAGGGACCGTGATGTCCTTGCTCCAGCGAATATTGGAAGTGTTCTGCACCACAGCTGGGAGAAGTTAAGCATGCAGCACTGCTGTTAGCTGCCTTACACTCTGTCCTGGATGTCCAAGTGTGCTTAAGAAGCAGAGTGATTCCTTCCTGATGGGCACAGCTGTAAACCACAGCAGCCTGTTCCCAGGTCTGAGCTTGCCTTGGGGCTGTGCCTCCTCGGTGACTGAGTGTGCTGCAGAGCAGTGCTGTGCCCCGGTGAGGGCTGCACCAGGGCAGTGCTTACCCTTGTGAGCCCCTAAGCTAAACACGTGCACAGTGAGAACAGGGTTAAAATGTGTATTAAAAATGGAATGTGAAGCAGCAGCTAAGCTGGCTGTTTCGCTCAGCCGGCTGAACTGATAAAAAATTACCTATTTCTTCAGCTAGTGCAGGGCTGGGCTAATTTCCTGCTAGTTTAGCAA